CTCCTTAACTTGATCTCCAAAATTCTCCGATTCGCCGGCACTATCTCCCGCATAGGACGGCGGCACTGGGGAACTCATGCCGGCCGCAGATCCAAATCAGCGCACTGCAGGATCGCCGACGACGTCACAGGAACCAGTAGTCAGTGCCGTCGAAATGCATAATATAAATAAAGAGCAGAAATGGAAGTGATGGCGAAAAGGCTTGAATGAGACGCAAAGCGAGAAAAAAAAAAGGATGAGAGAAATCTATGGTTTGTAGGAGAAGACGTTGACGAAGAAAGGAACTGAAAAGGCAATGGTGGTGGTAGAGGTGGTGGGTGGGGACGAAGACGACGAACAAACACGAATTGAATTATTTATTTTTATTTTTTATTTAAAAAAAGGGGTGAATTATTTATTATTTATTATGGAATTATTTTGGGATTGCTGGGAAAATGGCGCTGATTTGAAAAGTATGGACGGCTGCTTCTGCTCTGCTCTCTCTGCTTCAACCTCAAACCGTTTCGGTGGCCTTTATTCTTTATTTATTCTTATTCTTATTTTTTTTTTTAGTTCTTTGTTCTCTCCACTGTCTGGACTTTTTTTTTTCCCTTCGTTTTTTAAGTTGCTTAACTTAATTTTAATATATATTCTTTTTTCTTAATCAGAGGACTAATATATGTTCTTTCTAAACTTATCATTTCAATATTGCACTTTTAATTTATTATAATTAATAATAAATTTTGAAAATTCAAAAAGTACATAAATAAAATATAATTAAAACATAATATCTAAATCCTTACACACCGTTGAAGATGTCTCTTAGGACAAATTAGTCCACAAAGTTATTTTCAAGAGACAATTTCATTTTTGCCTAATTAAAATTTCAATATTGGGATAATAAGTGTCTATGAAGAAATATACCTAAAAAGTAAGTTTTAGAAAAAGTAATACTAGAAAATTACTCCATCGTCCGGTGTTATATTTTCTCAACTTCCAAATTTATCTGGTATTATTATTTTTATGTTAGGTTAAATTACAAATTCAATACTTATTGGACAAAGTTTCAAATTTTTTTTTTTTGAAATTAGACAAAGTTTCAATTTAGTTACTACAATTTTAGAAATTTCAATTTATTTCTTTTGATATTGGCTTAGTTTCATGTTGTCTTTATACCTTAAGTTTAATCTCAATTTAGTCACTATGGTTTTAAATATTTCAATTCAATCTTTATGATTTTGGACAATATTTTAATTTGATCTATATAATTTTAAAAGTTTCACCCTAATCTCTATGATTAAGGCTTGATTTTAAAAATTTACCTTCAATTTAGTCCTTATAATTTTAAATTACAATTTGATCTAAACTTCACAAATCCCCAGTAACTATGTTAGTTGAATGTATTACAATTTAGGGCCAAGTAAAAAACAAAACAATATATATGGTTTTTCCAGTAATTAAAACTAAATTTAGAGACTAGGAATTGAGATTTAAGCAAATCATAGTTACTAAACCAACTAAATTTCTAATCTAACCCAAGATGAAGTGAGGTATGCAAGATGGGATAATATATATATATATATGTTTTGGCAAACAATATAAAGAGGAATTTGAATGTGCATAATGACCGATAAAAAGTATATATGCATAGGAGTTAGCAAGAAAAGTACACGTGCAAAAAGTGATCATAATTATACAATTTCAGTAAGACCAATAAATTGTAATACATTATTTAATGTTTCACGCATTTTAGTGAAATTAACATATGGTTTCTACCCTAAAAAACTTTAGGAATGTGACAGCATTCCTATTCCTATTCCTATTCCTACCAAATGAAATGATGGATCTTCTAACCACTTTTATAAATTAGTTTAGTAGCTAATTTTAGGAAATATACAACTAACTTTTATAAATTACCAAATATAAAATTGGTAAAAAAGGCATTTTATCAAGTTGTATTTGTAGTTGTACTAAAAAAGCTAAATCTAATTGAATATATAAATGGTATTTGACTCATCCCTAAGCCCTAAACCTAAACTATTTAATTTCAAATAACTAAAAATATATATATTTAATTTCAAACATAAAATATTTTAAAAATATAATAGAAACAAGGAATAAGGAATATATATCTGGAATGTAGAATCCCGAGAAGATTTCGATACCGTTAAAACGTCTCCGTTCCATTGTAGGCCGTACAAAGCTTGCCGCAGAGCCGGTGGAAGAAACCTCAGTCGCAGCGACGGCCGGCGGAGAGCGGCGGCGGCACCGGCCACGGCCAGGACGAGCTGCCGTTCGAAAAATCAAATCGACGCCCATTCTTTTTCCACAGAATCATTTTTTAAATTTCAATTTGCATTTAAAATGAGGACTCCACTTCCGGTTCGGGGTCACCTAGGGCACATAATTCTAATTGGTTGAAGGTGAAAGCGAAAAGACGGGAATGTCCCTCCGTTTCTCCACCACTGAGTCGCTCTTTTTTGTTTGGATGCGAATGAACCGTAAAGTAAACGCTACTGCGTCACTATCTAATATTTATTCAGAAATTTAATTTCACACAAGCCTTTTAAAAGAAAAAAAAAAAGAAGAGATAATATATAATACTGGCTCTAAAGCCAACTAATTATGGATTAGGAAGAGTGATTAAATAATTAGACTGGAGATTAATGACCAAAGCCAATCATCTTATAAAGCTGGAGTGAGTATAACAACCACATGGATGGCAATTGGAAAGTACTTTTTTTTTTGAGTCTCAATTTTAAAGTACTAGTAAATAATAACAGAGAAAAATTATAATCATCATTAACATAAGAGAAACTATGGGTTAACTGAAAGATGAGTTGTTAAAAAAAAAAAAAAAACTTTTGACTTTTCCGAGAATTCTAATCCAAATTATAAAAGAAGTTGAGCTTGTATAATCAGTTTATAATTATCATAATTTGGATTAAACTAGCTTAAGATTTTTTTATATGTATATATCCATTAATCGACCTAACTCACCACGAAGTTTTGAATTAATTTTTGCTAAATCACTGGCCTAAGATTTTTAACCCTATAAAAGTATCTACTATTATAGATATGCCATATTTATTTTTAATTTCCATGTCCGTCACAACCACTATTTATCAAAAAGAACAAAAAAATTTGAAAAGTATATCAAATAAAAGAAAATGAAGTAAGTTGAAACATGGTATTAGTTCATAATAGTTTTTTCTCTATCATTCTTTTTAATCTCTAACTGTTTAGAGGTTTTGATTTTGATCCTTGAATTTTATCCACATTCTATTATTGTCATATTCAGCTTGATATTGATATGACATAAATAATGAAGGTAGTTACATGACATTATTAATCAATTATACGGTTGGATTAACTATGAAATTTAAATATAAAAAATTGATGATTAAAATTTAAATTTTATAAGTTAAAATGATCAAAATAAAAGGTGGACTGCATTTCTAATTGCTTTTTTTCCTTCTTTTAGTAACCATTTCTTATTTCACGTTCTAAAACATTTTGAATTAAAAAAAAAAACTTAAAAAATTTATACGAAAGTTAATTTTAAAAATTACAAATTTAATTTTATATTTAATATTTATTAAAAAATAATATTAAAATAATGTTTTTATTTATATTTTTATTAAAATAAAAAACGAGTATAAAAAAAATAATAAACTTGATTTTGTAATTTCCAAAATTTTTACGAAAGAAATGTTTCTTAAAAATGAGAAATGAAAATTAGTTACTAAATGCTTATGTTTCTAAAAAAAACTGAAAATAGGAACAAAACAAGTTCGAAATGTGTCATAATAGAATAATAGATGTAGATCTATAAGATATTATTTCAATTCATTAAACAAAGTGTTTGAGTTGGACAAAATTACAAAAATACCGTGCGACTTTTCATAAAGGTTTCAAAACAAGAATGATGTGACATGCCTAGATTAAATTTAAAGAGAGAGAAGGTACAAAAGGGAAGATTAAGGTAAATTTGAGTTGGACAATGGAAAAAGTAATTATGTTCGCAATGAAGAAACTTTTTAGGACAAAAATATTTTTGACAAGAGAGGAAATGTGGTATCGGATTCCACGTTAATTGCCACATCATTCCAACCTTTCGTTCAAAATACTAATGAATGTTTGATTAGAGGTATTTTAAAACGTTTATAATGTTAAAAGTAGTATTATAAGAGCTCCCTCGATCTTATGCTCACCATGTCCCTTGTAGTAGGTGCTTTTTATTTTTGGGCACTGGTACCCCAAGCCATTCTCGAAGTGGACCCGACCGCCGTCCAACATCCCAACAAAGCTGCAATGCTGAAAGAAACCCAACTCGATAGCCCTAATATGCTTCGTTGCCCGGAGGATATATATCACTCTGACCAAGAACATACTGAAAGAATATCATGAGCTGATAGGGGATCAACATATCGAGGATCCTCGGACTGAAGTAAGGAAGCGAGCATGAAACTTTTAAAAGAACAAACGAATGGCAAAGTTCATGAAAATATATATATAGAGGTGAAGATTCAAATCCATTATCTTTTAGTTAAAGACAGAGATATAGGTCAACTATTATAACCCAATCTAACTCCTAAATAATTACATGTACACTAACCAATGACCATATCAAGATTCATTAGAAATAACGAGTCAAAGACTGATGGTAATTTTCCATCTAGAACTAATTCCATCTGAAAAGTGAACAATATTTACCTGACATTTGCCTGAATTCAAGCAAATCTCACAAAATGTCGCACCCGCCAATGTCGATCCTCTATCATCCCTGACGTATGATGTTATGCTCGTGCCATATTGGACACGCACACGTTGGTTTCTTGTTCTTCCACTCAGCTCCACAAGTATAGCAAAATTCATATCCGCATCTGTAGAGCATCAGCCCCAAACATTAACCACACTAATAGAAACGTTAACCTACCACTATATTCAAAAAACTCGAGAATGGTAACACTGTGTACCATGTAGGTTTGAAAATCAGCACAACACTCATCAAGCAGCTATCAATATTAATTGAATTGGGGGAGTAAATGATATTAGAACTAAGAACCTCCCCTTCTGATACTATATTAAACAACACTATATTCAAAAAGTTCAAAGGAAATAGATTTAGAACATCTATGGTGAGTTGGGATTATTTTGAAAAAAATACTTTGGGGTGAGAGCACTTATTCAATAACTACTTTAAAGAAAACATTAATTATAGACTTCTCCAGTGCTTTTTATAAAATTTTTTAAAGGTGCATTTAACTGATTAAAAGCACTTCCCACCTCCCAAAATAATACTAAACTCACCCTTAATCTTTAAAATTTATTTTGAATAGAAACAAAAGAAGGAAACAGACCTGCAAATGATGTGATAGCATCCTTCTGCAAGTTCAACCAAATGGCTGCATCTCGCACATGGCCGCCAGAGCTTCTCTCTGGCTAGAGACTTCAGCTTCGCATCTTCCGTTTGATTTTTGTAGCTTGAATTTTGGTAGTCCTTGCAAGTCATGCCATCATGCCAGGAGATTTTGCAATTGATGCAAAAAAGTCGATGGCATTTCATACATTCTCTGGCTCCAGATTGCTTTGCGTTCCCGTGCATATTTTTTGTATACTCCAGAACCTCAGTCTTTGACATCAAAGCAGAGCATCTAGGACGTGGGCAATACACTTTCTCTGAAACAGGAATGGAAGATTCCTTAAAGCGTTGAATTATGATTTCAATTACTTCGGGTGGGAGAAGTTTGTTGCAACTCTCGATGCTCAGTATAGATTCACAGCCTTCATGAGGACATTTAGCTTCAGATCCAGCAAGAAACTTCACTTCTATGTGTTGTTTCATGCAAGAAAAGCAGTATCTATGAAGGCAGCCATCGACAGTAAACATTTGGCACAATTTAGTATCTTCAAAACAAATCTTGCAGTTCTCTTTCTCTAGCAACTTCCTGCACTTGCCTGTTTTTGCAGCACGCAACCTGACCTGAGAAGCTGTGGCGTCTTTTGAAAATTTAAAGGCAAACTTCTCGTCATCTTTTGCTGCCAAAATGGGTTCACAATAAGTAAACTTTCCACGAAGAAGAGTCACCTTCTCTACCAAAGCTGCAACCTTGCTTTCTCTTGGACGTACTCTACCTGAAACCTGCATTCAGTAATCACATACAGCATTAAATACTTCTGCTGCGGAATCTAACAATGAATAAAATCATTGCTCGCAGCAACCCAGAAAAATATTCATAGGGGGGATTGTGAAAAAGGAACAGAACTTGCATCTACAGATAACAAAAGCGGGCAAAGAATTCTTCATTGAAAAGAGCTATAAACAGAGAATTCTGAAGTGTATCTTCCTCTTTGCTGTCCTTGAATAAACCAAAAAAAAGGAAAAAGTACACGACAAAACAATAGGGACAATGTCAGTGGAGTAGAAAACTGCAACAATCAAAATGTTGATAAGTTTGAGACATCTGATAGGCAAATCCTTGTTCGTAATGTTAAAAAATTGTGAAAATGCACACTTGTGTTAACTCACATATTTGTAAATCGTATGATCATCGCAGAAGAAGGAAACCCTTTCCAAGGGAAGCACAAGAGCCGCCTCAAGCCCTTCGATCAGAGCCCTAAGGTAAGCAAGCTTGTGACTCAGGGCTTTGCTCTCTCGAACGGCTTCCAATGGCTTACTCACTTCGATCAATAAATTATCTCTCGAATCAAAAATAGCCGCCACAATCACCATCGCGTCTTCGACGCTCTTTTCGCTAATCAAACCCTTGAAATACAATTTGCAACATTCGGTATTAAACAAAGCATTGCGGGACGAACCGACAGCAGACACGTCCGTACCGTACGGACTATCGAAATCGTCCCGCTCGTCGTCGGAGATGTTGATGGTGTCCCCGGCGACCAGGTTGTGAAGTCGGCCGCCGTCCTCCAACGCGTCATTGTCCGATATGAGAATCGCATCGGGAATTTCACAATCGGCGCGATGATCGACGAGAAAGCGTGATGGGCGCGATGACGACGATGATGGAGGAGAGTGGGAAGTAGAGGGGAGAAGAGCCAGTGAAGCGGCGATGGCTTCTTCCATTTGGAGGTCGAAGGCGAGTTCATCGTCAAGGTCGGCATCGAAGTAGGTTGCTCCGGCCGCCATGAATCCCGACGTGGAAGCCACCGTTTCGAATTTGTTCGTTTGTTTTTCCTCCAAAAAGGAAAAATATTAAAAGAAAAGACTTTGACCATTAGGTCAAAAAGTAGTTCGTCTAATGTTAAGTGTCTTTTTATTTTTTTAAAATAATATAATAAATTTAACCCAGTAACGATAGAATTGAAGATCTGACATTTGAATTATATACTCTGATCTTCATAGGTTCGTCCAATCCTTATGTTCTTTGGTGTTCTACATGACTTTTCGTAGGACGGGATCATCCACTTTGAAGGCTCTTTGCCTTACTCTAACATTGCAGTATTGGGACACCATATTTACATACTCGACAACTATAAGGTTCGAGCAATATCAATTTAGTTTCAATGATGTTTAATTATAAATTTTCGAGGAATATTACAACAAAATCATTAAAGTAAAAGGAAATTGAATTCGAAAGTTGGATTTGATAAAATCATATTTATTTTTAATAAATTTAATCCCAGACCAAATTGATTCAATTAAACATCAACATGAACAAAGTTGAGAACATCTTCCTTTCTTGAAATTAGAGATTTCAGATTTTGTAACCAGAAAACCGGCTTTTGAAATATAGGTAATTTTAAAATATTATAATAGAATTTTATTTCTTGAAAACTATATACGAAGAATATAAATAGAATAAGAAATACTAAAACTACAAATATTAATTGCTTGTTGTCACTGAATGTTATTGAGTTTAAAATATTATAAATTTTAATTTGATGAAATAGATACAGTACTGATCTATAAATTTAATTTAAATTTATGTTCTAAAAAAAAGTCTATAAATTTTGAAAATTAACTAATTTCATGTGATTTAGGACATAATAACCAAAGATGTAAGATTCAAATTTCCACCAAAACTCACTTTTGTTCCTTAGTTAATTAGGAATCAAAACAACGAAACACAAAAATATTAGAGCGGACACTCATATATTTAGCCCCCAAGAAAAATTTCGACGTTAAAGAAAGATGCATTCTTCGCATTTGCATGTTGCTCCTTCCGGGTAGGAAAAAAAAGAGAACATACTTTTTCAAAATTCCATCTCATTCTTGAAGTTTTATCGCAAGGCAAAATATTTCATTATCATTTGATAGAAATTATTGGAAGAGACCGCTACAATACAACCTATTGGTTGGAGAGAGATATCAATTACGAGCTAGGCTCACTTTGACACAATTTATTACTTTTTAAGAGATATAAAAAATGTTATGAAAATATTTTGATTATGTATCCATTCATAATTCCGAGCAGGAATTTAGTTAAAGATTGAAACTGAATCCTTTCAATAAAATTGAAAAAGAAATGATCTTTACTCTGAAGAACCAAAGGACCTAAAATTAAAGCTTCACACCAGATGGGGAAGCAAACTTCAGTGATTAAAACCTGTAACCAAAATAGGAGATCATGTGGGATTGTCCCAACAGAAGTTACACCTGAACATGTGAATCATTTCAAAGTTTCAAGTATGTCAGCATATATGGACAGGCAATTTACAGGGGAGAGAGAAAAAAATCAAAATCCCAAGGTTGGGTTGGATCATTTGAGTGATGTTGAAGACTGAACTAGAGCATAGAGGATGGCTTTTGATCAAATATAATAGCACTCATCATCGGAATCATAAAACTCTTCCTCTTCTTCATCAGTGTATATATCGTCATCATCGAAGTCTCTGTTATTGTCATTGTACCAGATGCGATCCTCGGCCCAAAGTGGACAAGAACATGTCGCCTTCTTATCTTTCCACTCTCCTCCACATTTATAGCAAAACTCATGACCGCATCTGCAACATAAAACCCGAGACAAAAGTTCATTTGTGATCAATCAAACTAGATACCAAGAAATGAACGGGTGCAAACTAGATCTGGTTTATAGATGACTTGTAGGTATAAATTGAATGCTACTCACAAATATGCTATTCTAGATTGTCTTTCCTTTTTCTTTTACGTTTACGAGATCAAATAAATAAGACCCAGTTTCATTCCAATCTCCATTTACATTACTATTTTAATTCCTGTCCTTCGAGCTAAGTTTATCCAGAACTAGGTAATTATAGAGACGGATTATAAAGTCCACATTAACGTACAGATTTAGGTTAAAGTGAGAGCTATGAACAGTCTTAAGTTTCTACTTTCCAGTACATATTACAATTTGGGAATAAAGTCTGTTATGATACAATAGAAATGAGGTTACCTGCAAGTCATGTGATAGCAACCTTCAGCAAGTTCAATCATGTGATTACACTTCACACATTGGCGCCACAGATTCGTCGATGCCAGGGACTTTAATTTCACATCTTCAGATGCGGGATTATTTGACCTTTTATAGTCATTGCACGAAACGCGATTATGCCAAGGAACCTTGCAGTTGATGCAGAAAAGACCATGACACTTCATGCATTTCCGTACTCCAGATTGGTTGGCACCACCAAGGACATCTCTAGTGTATTCCAAGACCTCGTCTTTTGTCATTAGAGCCGAGCATTTTGGATATGGACAATAAACTTTCTCAGAAACAGGTATGGAAGCTTCTTTAATGCGTTGGCGCATAGTAGCCATATCTTTAGGTGTCAAGAATTTTGCACAGCTATCGACATTAAGATCAAACTTACAGCCATCATGTGGACACTTGGGCACCAATCCTTGAAGTAATTTCACCTCCACATGTTGTTTCATACAAGAAAAGCAGTACCGATGCAAGCAGCCATCAACCGCAAACATTCTATTAACATCACAATCCTCCAAACAAATAACACAAGCCTCATTTAGCTTCTTCTTCAGGGCAGGACCTTCAGTTCGGGTTATCTCGGTAACTATTGCATCTCTTGCTAGTTTGAATGCAAACTTAATATCATGTCGAGCCACAAGCTTGGGCTTGCAAGAGTCGAAACATATTTGAAGATGAGTTACCTGACTAAGTAGCACAGCAATCTTACGCTGCTTGGGTGGCCATTTTCCAGTAACCTGTGCACGGCTTAATAATAAGATGTTGGATTGTTAATTGTAGTTCTAGAAATAAAGTGCAAGTGAAAAGCCAACCCCGAGATCAACCATTTTATACAAAAACCCTGAAGCAGGAGAGAATCACATCTAAGTCACCTTTTCTGAAAGACTGCTTTTGCTAAAAACAGACTCCCAACTATTACCATGAAAGGATAGCTGCGACCTATAGGATTGAGGACCCATCACTTATATTGTAGTTATTGAGAGATGACATCCTAATAATATTAGCCCCAAACGGTCAAATATATGCCATCTGCAACATCCTGATCTCTACCAGCTGTTACTATATCTTTACCATTTTCTATATAAGCTCACTACCAGATTTTTTAACATGACTTTCTATAAGGATGGTGGGTCTTTAATGTTCGTCATGTTCTAAATCACACTAATTGAGAATGGGTTTAGGATTCCTTGAAACTTAACAATGAAATAATCACCAATTCTTAATCAAATTACTTAAAATTTATGGGGTGGGTCTGTACATTACATCATTTTGCAATTCCACCTACTCATGTAAGAAATAGAAACAGATCTAGTTCCTTGAGTAACCTCAAAATTGATGTGAAATGGGGTTTAACCAATATTGTCAGCACATTTTTTACATTCATCTACGCCACTAAAGTCCAACATCCTCTTCTAGAAGGTGCTTAAGCAACCAGACCACCGTTAAAGTAAAATGTAAGGATCGCATGCCACGTGATACAAGTGTAATCATATAAATGTCTGAAGATCAACGTACAACTTGTAGAAGACAGCTAAAGATTTGAATAAAAAATTATCTTGGGAGCATTTCGTTGCCAAACATCAAAGGGCCGTTGACAGACAAGGAAATGAAAGAAATTTGTCGAAGAATGAAGATTAAACAACAAAGGCATAGAGAAGGCTTACAAATTGATAAAGAGGATAGTAATCGCAGTAAAAACGAAGGCGCTTCAATTTCAAACCCATTGCTGCGTTCAGTCCTTCGATCAAAGCCTTAACCTCAGCCACTATCTTGCTCCTTTCGTTTCCAATTAGGGGTTTTTTCATCTCGAAGACTAATTTATCCTCTGGATCGCAAATAGCAACGCCGATTCCAACCACAGCACGTCTCTCATTTCCAATCCCTTCCTCGCTTACCAGACCCTTGAAATAGAGACTAGAAAATCCCTGGTTCTCGACGCCCTTCGAGCTGCCCTCACCGAAGGGTTTCTGAAAAGTGTCTCCGCACTCACTCCAGTCGTCATCGCGAATGTTAAAGATCTCCCTCGCGAAACCGTGATCGTGAATCCGACGGTGAAGTTCCCCGCCAGTCCTGCGCATCTCGAACTGGCATTGAAGCCAGTCTTGAAATATTTGATCAGATTTCGCGACGTCCTGGGCGTGAAGAGAGCCGATTCCGGAAAAATCATCATCCCGTTCGAATTCTTGAAGTTCTGAGCGTAGAATTGAGGAGGAAGAGGAAGCGGGAGCTTGAGAAGCGAGTGATGCGGCGAGAGCTTCTTCGAGTTGAAGATGGTAGGCAAAGTCCAGGTCGGAATCCAGCGCCAAGGCGTCCATGAGTTCACGAAACTGCTCCATTTTAATGGCGCTTAAATCTTCGCAGTCGTAAAATGGAGAGGGTGGGTCGGCCGGAGTCGACATTGATTGGATTCTTTATTTCGTGGAGGATGACGCAATAAAACTAAACACCCAAAATTAATAATCACATCGCTCCCTTCGTAAGCTTTTGTGTTTTTATATTAAAATTTTCACTTTTATCCTTAAGCTTATAAAAATGTGCCCAAAATAAATCTTTGGTTATTCCTAACGAATAAGTTATTACTGTGCAATGGTTACAAAAAAAAAAATAAAAAAATTAGTTAACAATCTTCGTTATAATTTGTTTAGATTTAAAACTTAGATATTTAACAGAAACTAACATCTTTACTAACCAACTTTAACTAAATCTCCACCTTATACGTTGTAATGGTACTAAAATAACTAATGTCTTTACAATAGGTTAAATGAGAATAATTTTGTATAATTTAATATTTTTCTAATTTTGTATAATTTAATATTTTTCTAAAGTAAGTACTTGGAAGCTTTTTTTAAGTGTTTCTATTTTTTAAGTTTATTTTGATAATATATTAACTTTCAAAATATAGTTCATAAAGTTGAACGGTATCTAATATGTTATTAATTTTTTTTTAAGAAATTGTTATTAATTTTTTTTAAGAAATTGTTCTTAATTTTTTAACAATGAGTCTAGATTATAAAAAATATAAATAAAAAGTCTAACATATTAGAGATCTGATAAGCCCAACATTGAGAGTTAATTAAGAAATCTATTAAACATTTAAAAAAAAAGTTGAAACATAGATTAGATACGACATTTAAATCCTATTAAATGATTTTTAAAATCTACACCAAAACATACCATATTTATACACATGCCAATTTTCGTATTATTTAGTAGAAGACTAATTAGGTTTGTTTCTTAAGATATGAAAACTAATTAGATAATTTAAAAGAAAAATGATAAAAAAAATTGTTATAGATATTTTTTCTGCATGGATTTGGTGTGGGGTAAAATTTTCCATAATCATTGTTGTTGACTTATGAGTTATAAACTTTTCACCAAAATGGTTTATTGAATTCAACTTGGATTTCTATAACACATTTATTTGCATATTCTAAACACATATTATATAAACATAAACATTTGCTTCTCACTTTTACTTTTTGAAAATTTCCATTTTATTAAAATTTATAAGAATACATTTAGATATAAATTATATGAATTCGAGAACCTATAATTCAATAAATAAGAATGTTAATTTGGGTGAAAAAGGCTCTCGGTCCAGATCGTCATCCCTACGTATTGTTATACTAAGAAAAAACTAATTATGATATTATATTCTTGACTAAAATGTCGATAATTCAGATCTTCACTCTCATATGTCATTGAACTATAAAAACAAATCTTCATAATCCCAACCTATATTATTAAAAAATTGTTTAATCAAACGGATAAATAAATTAAGTGGCCGTCTCAGTGAATTTATATCCGTCGGGTATGAATTTTTTAAGTGAAAAACATGTATTTTTTCCATCACAATGCATACCTATATTTTTAAGTCAAAATTGAAAATTGTATTTTTCCTTTTTAAAAGGATAAAAGTAGCCACTCTGGTTACACCTTGTCCACAAACTATACATTGTTAACTGATTAGATTGCATATATTTATTATATTTTATATTTTCCTTTCAAATACCTTTTTTTTAGCCATACAATAAGTTTCAATAAATAAATTCAAATTATTCCGAAAATAAATAAATAAATAAAATTTTTTTGAAGCCCTTCCAAACTCAAGAACAACAGCCTCTGTAGCCACGCGAATAGAGACCGGGGTCCCGCTTTCAATGGGATCTGAAGTTAATTTTCACAAAGCCCAAAGCCCAGGCCCATAATTCAGCCATCGAATTGGGACTCAACTGGATTCGGCTCACACATTATTGGGCCTCAATAGAAGCCCGTTCCCGATAGAAGCCCATCGAATTGGAACTCTCTCTGGAAATTACCTTGTGTTTAATTAGAAATAATTTGTATCAGGCGTTTAATTTTTTTCCTCCTTAATCGAAAATTTATTGTGTGTTTAATTTAATAAATTAATAAAACAGTTGAGGGTGAGAGATGAGCAAAAAATGTGTGAGGTTGGAGTAGCTACATTTGGGATTATCCCCCGTGGACATACGACCAAAGGAAGGAGCGATGCTTGTTTTAGAAGAAACGTACAAGATTAATGCGGTACACCCTTCTGCAATGCAACAGGTCAAGGTGGTAGGTGATGAAGTGATACCACATGCCGAGAATATCCCATAATGACTCATTAGAGTTCATACATAAGTAGGCCCTACCACGTCGCACGTGCGCGCAAGCATCCTCCCTACTCGGCTATAACACCTATAAAAACGACAGAATACCATGACTACAGGGGTAAGTGAAAAATCTGTCACTAAACTACTAAGTTGTTTACCATTTCTCTCATGTTTGATTTCTAACTTGATTGTCGGAGAATATTAAGCGGGCACTGCATCGATGTCAAGACTTGTTGTTGCAGGCTCGTCTGTTTGAGGGTCGCTCATCCGAATGACACGTAGACCTCTTCGATTTCATCATTTCTCAAAAATATTTGATAGAAATGTACTGTTAAAAAAACAATAAAAATAAAAATTATAAACTAATTTTCAATGTCATGAAAATCAAACGATTTACAACAATAACAATTATTTAGGAGAAAAATATATTAAAAAATAAAATATTTTCCACGTTGATAAAATAAAAACGTCTTACCGCCCAAAATTGAATTGAATTCAGAATTATGCAATTTCATTTCTTAAAAAAGAAAAAAAAAAAGCCTTTGTTAGATGTTGCATCTAAATTGAAGAGAAAAGAAAGTCCTCGTGCAAAATCAAGCCGTATTTTTTTTTCCATATATAAAACAAATAAAAAGGAATATAAAATCTACATGCTTTTTATTCAAAAATGTCATACTTAGAGGAAAAAAAGACCACGACTAAGGTAGAAGTAGAAGCCTTTATTTGACCGAAATCAAAGTTTTTGAGTAATTATTAAATCCTCACGTCACACGTGGGATCCGTTAATGTCCAAAATATGTTTATATCAATTAAAATTCATATCATATGATTAATTGTTTTGGAAATTTTGATGACCAAGGAATTTTCTCACCGTCCCATTTTTTTTAGAATAAGCACAGGCTTTTAAGATCACATTCATATTTTTAATAATTGTTTGACTACGAATTATTTGTCTAATTTCACGAGGTAAGATAAAAAGAAAATAGACCAATTTAAGTATACAGTTCGATGGATAAGACTCTTATTATCATCTTCAAGATCGATGCCTTTATCCCCACTTCCAAAACTATTCAAACTAAAAATATAGAGGAGGAGAGACAAGTAAAAGACTAATATGTGATTGCAAATTAATAGGGTCAAAATAAGAATATTATACAAAGTAATTTTCAATCAATGCAAACCAATCTGAGCATAATTCGATTATTTACTTTTGAGATTCGAATTTTCCACTCACGTGTTAAACTAAAAACAATTGTCAATCAATACATGGTGTGAATGAAAAGAGTATGTTATTAAAATTTTTCTATATCATTACGTTAGCTAGGTGATTATTAAGATTATCTTACTCAATAATCATTAGATAAAATAAAATAAAATATTCATTATCATTATTAAAATTTGCTTGTGGTTAGTGAATTTTAAAAATTATATATGTTTATAATCATTTTATAAAAAAAAAAAATATTAGAAAACAAACTTCTATCTAATAAAATTTTTTCAAACAGATAAAAAGGGTCTGCCACGTAGAAATTAAATTCCTCTGAAATTTGAAAATAATAATTCAACTAAGTAATTGGAATACGTTAAATTCAGAATAAAGCAATGAGAAATAGATATCTAAAAAGAAAGAGAAACTTAAACTTTATTTTAATACGAAAAAGGAAGTTTAACTTTACTTACACGTGGTTAATTTGAACTTAACTTAATACATTAAAATATCTACTTACGATTGAGGTGTGAGTGTATACATATATATAGTTTTCATTTTCCTATCTGAATCCAAGACTCAGTCGAAGGATAAATTTAATTGACTGCCTTTAGTTTCTTTTCCTTTTTTGAGTTTTATGTTTTATAAAAACAAACAGAAAAGCGGTTGAATTAGTAAATTTTGTTTAATTTAAAATTTATTTGTTAAAGTTTGTGTTTTAAAAAGTTATACCTTATGCAATAACTCAGTTTCTCTGTTTTGTAGTATATATTTTTTTTTATGAAAAAAACAGAAATATATATATATATATATATATATATATATATATATTTTGTTTTAAAATTTATTTCTTTATTTTAAAAATAATTTTCAAGAGCATAAAATGAAAAATAAAATTCTTATTGAAAAAGATCTATAAGGATATAATAGTAAATAAATTAATTATAAATGGTAGGTTAAATTACAAGTTTGTTTCTTAAACTTTCAGGGTTAGACCTAATAAATTCTAAATCCCTATATTTTCAATTTTATATCTAATAAGTCTACCACTTCTTAAATGCGTGAAATAGGTCAAAGATGTATTAAATGTAAAATTAAGAATTAGATGGTACTTATTAGATACGAACCTATTAGACATATTTTTAAATTAAAAATGAAATATCTCCATAAAAAAATTGAAAAGATTTTCAAAACATTTATAAATCATACTCTTAAACGGCCAAACAAATTCAGTTTAAAAATAAAACGTTAAGTTTTTTAAAATAGGAGACTAAAAACAAAATTTATCAAATTATTCACACTAATAACTCAACACAAGTCAAAATCTTAAATCTTAAATCCTTAACAACTTTTATTCTAAAAGTGTGCTTTCGATATTATTGTGTTTGGCTAATAAAATTGAGATTAGACAACATGATATGATTATCAAACAAAATAAAGGAATTAACTCTTTACAAAAGATGGGGACAGTAATAATTAATATTTATAAAACCATGACTTGAGGATAAAATTAACCTAAGGCTTAAATAAAAACATCATAAAGACAATATACGATGTTATGGTTGGATATGTCCTTTGGTCATTCCCATCTTTTGACTTTCTTGGACAAAACAAACACATTGGACGATGCCCAAC